TTAACAGTCAACTAATAGTCAGTTAATAGACTTAATAGTCAGTTAACAGAACTAATAAAATATTATAAAATGAGGGTTATTTTCTTCGATTTTAATAGGTGAGGGATTAAAAGTGTCATAATATAAGGTGAGGGATTAAAACTTACAAATCTAATAAGATGATGAATTAAAAATGTCAGAATATATGGTGGGGACTAAAACCTTCAAATTTGATAAGCTAAAAAATGTGAGAAGTTAAAAGGTTAAATACCCAATTTGGTCCCTAAACTTTCATTTCTGAACTTAGTTCGTCCTTCAACTTCAAAAGGTACCCAAATCGTCCTTAAAGTTTATTTTCCCGTAACTAAATTGGCCCTTCCGTGACGGAAGTGCCCACCTGGCACGTTAAGTCTCCACAATTTGGTTTTTTTAATTTTTAAATGCTTAGTTACAACCCACAAAGTCAAAATCAAGAATCCATTTCCATTTGCAATACTCCAAATCCATTTTCCTCTCTCCATTTACCCACACCCACCTCGCTCCGCACCCTGCTTTCTTCTTCCAGATTCCATCTCATTTCGTACTACGCTTCGTTGGTCTCAAGGCCGACAGCGTTGAAAACCCTTGCAAGCACGGCGGTTTTTGAAGGGGCTTCTGTTGTCGACACGAAATCAAGGGGTTTGGGTGCAGAACGAAGGCGACGGTCTCAGACACAAGGATGGTGATAGAGAAAAGTGAAGGGAAGATGGTGAGCGTCTTTGATTCGGAGGAGGATTTGGCGGTGGCCCTCGTGAAATACACCTCCGACCTATCTGACAAGGTCTCCAAAACAACGAGCTCGTTTACTGTCGATCTTTGGTTGTCTCGCCACCGTTGTCACCACGATAAAGACTCAGAGACATGGGTTTTCAAACACAGTGAATGATGACCAACCTAATCCTTCCTTTTCTTCTTTGGAAATCGCAGCAGACAAGTCAAGCTTTTCCCATTTGTATGAGGAAACGTTAGGGATTCTTGATTTTGATTTTGTGGGTTGTTCTTATTGTTTTCTGGTGATGAGATTTTTGCTAGCTAGACTTATTAAGAATCCCAAATTTTGATTTGAGTTTTTCATCGGAGAAGAGGAGGATGAAACCCAATTAAAAGGATTTAATTTTTTCCCAAATTATTGAATGAATCAATTAATTTAATATATTTTACGAGGTTATCATAATCGAATTAATTATGAGTTAATTGATTCCTTAATTATCTGTATTAAATACAACAATCAATTAATTTAAATCTTTTAAATTTATTAAGAATGAATCAATTAAGAAATTTTTTTTTCTGTTCTATTTTTTATCAATATTATATTTAATAATTTTTACCATGTCATCAATTAATTATTGTGTTTTTTCCACGTAAGCATTTAAAAATTAAAAGCATTAAATTGTAGAGACTTAACATGCCAAGTGGGCACTTTCGTTACGGAAGGACCAATTTAGTTATGGAAAAATAAACTTTAATGACGATTTGGGTCCTTTAACTTCATAAAGGACGAACTAAGTTTAGAAATGAAAGTTTAGGGATCAAATCGGGTATTTAACCAAGTTAAAAGTAAGTTTTTGCCTCTCTAGCGTGGTTCCCCTAGTGTCATTCTTCATCACCATTTTTCATCAATCAAACAATCAGTTGAAGGAAAAACTACTGCATTCTCTATCGATTAATTCTTAATCTTCTTATCAACAAAATCACAACAACCCCCCAAAAAAGAGCAATATAATCTTTATTTGTTCTTGAAAATCTAGAAAATCTAGGTCCATTTGTACCTAGATCTAAGATCCATTCAATGAAACCTAAGATTATTGGGTTCTATCGAATCAAACCCAACGTTGGGTTCGATCATTGAACCCAAAAAGGCATGAGAGGGAAAAAGTATGGGGGAAGAAGTATGGAGGAGGGGAGGGAGAAGAAGGAGAGAGAATAAGGCGGTCAAAAGAGACTGTGGAGAAGAAGTGATATATAGGAGTAATTTTATAATTTTATAAATTTTGATATTTTAATTTGTTAAAATAATTGTTTTAATCTATATCTTAAGATGAAGTTAAGAATTTTGAAAAAATAAAAGTGATATTTAATTTATCATTATTTAATTAAATTTATTTATGTAGTAATGATATTAAAATTAATATTAATTTTTATAATTTTTATATAAATTTATAATAAAAAATGTTTTTAATGATTACCCTTAATTTATATTCTTAAAAATACATATTTAAATATACATGTTAAAAAAACTCTTACTAAAATTGTGGTTTAATAAGTGGTATTATTAGGTGGACAATTTTTTTTCAACTAAGTAATTTTACTTATATGTAATTGTCCTATTATTAAAAAAATTAAATAAATTAATCTACCGTTTGGAGTGATTTAACGGCAATGTCATATTTAACGTATGAGAAAATTTTAAAAAATATATTTTTTAGAGTTTAGGACTAAAAAATACAAAAAATAATTTAAGGTAAAATATGTTCAAAATTTAAAGTTGGAGGCTAAAATTGATATTTAACCAAAAATAAAAATGCAAAGAGTTGCGAGGGTCCCGGGGATGTCTTGCGGCTCTTGCAAAGATCGACTCGAGACCGTATTACTTTTTTAATCAAAATATGGAACCAAGACCAGCTTTTGTCTCTCGCCCCGCCCCGCCCCGCCCCGCCCGGCCCAGTGGTTGTTTTCCACTCAAAAGATCTTAGCTTTGTTTGGATTGGTGGGTGTGGAGGAGAAGGGTAGGAGAGAGAGGGGAGAGGTGTCTATTTTTTTGTTTGAATTGTTCTTTTTAACAGAGGAGAGCCAGATAGAGGAAGATCAAGTCCTTCCACTCTGATTGCAACGGATTTTGTTTGGGGTATTTATTTATTCTTTAAATTTATTTTAAAAATAAATAAATAAAAACATTTTATTTTAATTATTTATTTGATAAATAAAATTTATTATATTATATTATATTTTTTAAATTATTTAATTAAATAAAAATATTATTTTCCAATTTCCTTTACTTTCATCTATTCAAACAACTTTAACACTAATTTTTCTTCCCTTCCCTCTCCTCCCTTCCTTTTCCTTTCTTTTACTAATTTTTATCTAAGCAAAGGTTTAGACAATAATCAAGGAACCCTAAATCCAACCCAAAGGGTAGATTTATTGATAAATACATGTCATTTAAGTGATATTTAAAATTCAAGTTTTAAAATGATCACTTAAAAAAATTAATTTTCTTGAATATACTAATCAAGTATGAAGACATTTTTACGATTACAAGAGAAAAAAGGTTTAATCTTTAAATATGTGAAAACTCAATTAGAATACCTTAATTCTAAATCCTAAAAGAAAAAAGAACCTCAAATTTGTTGATTATATGTATTTTTTTTATCTTTAGTTACATAATAAGAGAAAATCCTCTTTTATTTTTTGACATACTCAACTATGTGACTCAAATTTAAAATTTATTATTTATATTGGAAAGAGATTATTTATCAAAGCTACTTAGTCTGTTGCCTTGATGAGATGCAGTTATGCACTATATATATTCTACATGTGATCATAATTGTAGATTAAAATATCCGTCCATGGCTCCAAATTTAAGTAAGTTGTGTTGTTGCTAAATTTTAGTAGGCTTAGTTTGTTTGTTTGTTTTTCTTTTCTTTTCGTTTCTTTTTTATCTAATTAAATAGTGATCAGCAAACCATTAATCTGTCACTCTTTTCTGTCTACTGAAAATCTTAACTGAAATCTGGAAGCAAGTTCTCTTCTTGAGAAATTATTGTTTTTGCTCAGAATTGCCACTAACACTTTTACTCCTCCATTTTCAGCTTTTGGACCTGCTAGGCGTACAATTAATAATGGAGGTTGCTGGTCTGAAACAAGAAATGGATTAACCTTCTCTGCTTGCACAGTTCAGTGATTTTTCTCTTAACTTTCGCTTATACAATTGGTTTTCTGTACATCTTCATTAGTCCTTACGTTTGCTACTTGTTTACACAAAGCAGGAAATACAGTTAAGCGGCTGTCAATGCCCACAGGGCTTTCGTGGGAATAGTCACAAATGTGAAGGTGCTTTCTTCTTCCAGCTTCACTACTGACTTTCTTTTAGTTTCATGTCCTTTCATAGAATTGCGTCAATTGTATCCACTGACTTTAATTTCTTCAGATATCAATGACTGCTGGGAAGGTCTTGCCTGTCAGTGTGATGGTTGCTCCTGTAAGGACACTAGGAGCGGGTACGAGTGCAAGTGTAAGGGCAATCGTCCTATAAAGGAACAAGATGTTTGCATTGGTTGGACAACAAGAAACTTCATTGCTTACATTTATAATCAATATCTTATACATGGCAATAAAAAAAAAAAAAAAATTCAGGAAAACATTTCCCATTTGTCATCTCTAGAAAACGGTTTTCCTTCCTTCCATTCTGTAACTTGAGCTTTGGTCTTTCGTAAATGTATAAAGAAAATTGTTTTCAGAGAATGAAAATGATCTTCAGTAAGCATTTCAGTGTTTCTGCTCATTATCATAAACCATATGTACAAAGAGACGAGGGGTTTGAGAAAAAGAACCATCTTCCGATGCAGCACTTATCATTAGACTACATCACCAGGTATGTGCTGATTGCTGTGTGCACTGTGCAGAATGTTACTTTGCCTTGAAGGTGTGGAATGGTCAACAGACTGGAGCTGCAGCAGTATTGGTGGCTGATGGCATAGATGAACATCTAGTTACAATGGATTCTCCCAAGGAAAACACTGATGCAGAAAAATATGTGGAGAAGATTGACATTCCATCAGCTTTGATAAAAAGGGCTTTTGGTGACAGCCTAAAGCAAGCCTTGAATAAAGGTGAAGATGTGGTGATAAGGTTGGACTGGAGAGAGTCAGTGCCACATCCTGACCAGAGAGTTGAATATGAGTTCTGGACAAACAGCAATGATGAGTGTGGGATTCGTTGTGATGAGCAGATAAATTTTATAAAGAACTTCAAAGGTCATGCTCAGATTCTTGAAAAGGGGGGTTACACTTTGTTCACACCACATTACATAACTTGGTATTGCCCTGAGCCTTTTATTTCTAGCAGACAGTGTACGTCCCAGTGCATAAACAAGGGGAGATATTGTGCCCCAGATCCAGAGCTAGATTTTGACACAGGATATCAAGGAAAAGATGTGTTGCTTGAGAACGTGAGGCAGCTTCGTGTGCATAGAGTTGCCAATGAGAGCAACAGGTCCTGGGTCTGGTGGGATTATGTGACAGATTTTCACATTAGGTGTTCTATGAAGAACAAGAGGTACAGCAAAGAATGTGCTGAGGATGTTATGAAATCACTTGGTAAGTGAAGCTAATGAGATTTTTGTGTTTACCATATCTGTTTCTGTTTTCTCTTGGTTAATTCCTATTTGATTAACCAGATTTGCCTATTGAGAAAATCAAAAACTGCATGGGTGATCCTGAAGCAAACGTAGAGAATGAAGTCCTTAAAAAGAAGCAAGAACTTCAGGTTTGTATGTTTATTTCTTCTCCCCTTATATGATTCTAAATTTTCATTTAAAATCTACATAGAACATAACAAATGTCTCTCAATATGAATAGTCTATGAGTACATAGGAATGATCTTTAAGGAAGTATCATATTAACTCTTCTTTTTTGTTACAATGTCTGATATTTTTAGTCTGGCCAAGGATCACGTGGAGATGTTGCCATTTTGCCAACGCTGATTACTAATAACGTTCAATATCGAGGTTTGTTATAACTACCATTTTCATAGCTAGTTGTAGACTGAGATCTGTAATTTTTCACAGTACTGCTCCTGCTATTTTTTTCCTATATTTTCTTTCCTCAGTGATTATTTCCTCCTTTAACTTCCTTTCTTTTCCCCCCTCCCATTTTCCTTCCTTCTGTTACATTACCGTGCCAATCATCTTTCTGTATCAGCAGGAGTGTGACAAGCATTCAATAACTGTATGTGAAGTCTTAATGAATTTAGTAGTCCAGTCTTACTCTCATGAAGTCTTAATTTTTCTAGCCATCCTCATTTTCCTACAAATACAACTATTTAAAACAACATATCAAATCAGGATGTTGAAGTTCTTGATATGCTTTTTGTGAAGGGAAATTGGAGAGAACAGCCGTGCTTAAGGCCTTATGTGCTGGATTCAAGGAGACTACAGAACCTGCAATTTGTTTGAGTGGAGGTTGATCCGCCTGTCCCTTTTCCGGTCTTTAATTTCATAATAATGAAGAAGTTCTTTGCATCTTTTATTCAATTGTGTCATTTTTATTTTGGTAGACATCGAGACTAATGAGTGCCTTGAGAGGAATGGTGGCTGTTGGCACGACACAAATGCAAATATAACAGCTTGCAAGGTAACACCATTTAGGGGAACTTTTCTATATCAATAATTGAATTTTAGTTGCATGCCATGAATTACTGATTATTAACAAAGAGATGCTGGTATTTCAGGACACATTTAGGGGAAGAGTGTGTGAGTGCCCTACTGTGATGGGTGTTCAGTACAGAGGAGATGGTTATGTATCATGTGAAGGTGCACCATTACCCTACAAAATTTACTTACCGAACATAGCTTCTATTTCCTTTCAGGCTTAGCAAACATACTGGCTTTGAAATGAGGGTATCCACCTCTACAAGCTGCGAAAATTTCTTAATCCTACAACTGTTCAGCAAACCATTAATCTGCCACTCTTTTCAGTCTCCTGAAAATCTTAACTGACATCTGGAAGCAAGTTCTCATTTTGAAAAATTATTGTTTTTTGCCCACAATTGCCACTTAAACTTTTACTCTTCCATTTTCAGCTTGTGGACCTGGTAGGTGTACAATTAATAATGGAGGTTGCTGGTCTGACAAAAAAAGTGGATTAACCTTCTCTGCTTGCTCAGTTCAGTGATTTTTCTCTTAACTTTCACTTTTACAATTGGTTTTCTGTCCATCTTCATTACTCCTTACCTTAACTACCTGTTTACACAAAGCAGGAAACACGGTCAATGGGATGTGAATGCCCACAGGGCTTTCGTGGGGATGGTCATACATGTGAAGGTGCTTTCTTCTTCCAGTGTCACTACTGAAAAGCAGTTTAATACAGTCATTAATATTTGAAATGCTTTCTTT